CTCTGTTCGCTTATCCTGTTCCAAGCCTTGTCTTGTAGGTACATATACATATACAAATATATACATATATATATATATATACACATATATGTATCAATATGTATGTATGTGTGTATATATATGTATATATATAGTAATTGTGTGGAAATGGAATTGCAGATGAGAAAACGAAGTCAGTGAAGCTGAGGGAGGACTGGAGGCAACGCTCCAAGCCCATTCCTCCCGGTGGCACCTACCCAGCTAAAGACCACTGCAGGTTCCAACAATTAGTAACAATTTTTTTTATATAATTTTCTTTTTAAATTTTTTTTTGATGATACCCATGTTAATCATTTTTCATTTCTTGAGATTTTTTTTATTTATTAGAATTTTTTATTTATTTATTTATTTATTTTTTGGTGCAGTCATTGTGGGTTGTGTGATACGTATTACATTGCCCATGTGAAGAATGCTTGTGCTTTCTTAGGTGATGGAATGTCTAGAATTGAGGTGAGTTCTTGTTCTTTAATCTTTTTATTACAACTATATTTGTGCCAATATTTTGATCCTTGATCTTTCCAGCCAATTATTTTAACAAGCTAAACTAGTTTTAGTTGTCATTTTTTTTTTTTTCCAGAACAACTTATTGCTTTAGGCTTATACATAAGTGCAACTGTTAAATATATAACAAACTTATTTTCCTCTGTTAAAATCTATTTACTAATTTGTTTTCTCATTCAGAGTTTGGAACCCGTTGTTCATGGGAGAGGGAGGAACGTGAATTCCTTGGATGATGTATACTTTGGAGTCCATGATAAGCTGCTGTATGCTCGGAAAATTAAGCCTGTAGAAGGTTCTTTCTTATTATATAATATATGATTACCAGTTTTAAGTTGGTCTTTTGTTTTGTTTTGTTTTTGGTCATATGAATTTGGAAATATTGTTCTTATCCCTATTACCATTCATTATTTATAGGGTTACAAGATAGATTAGCAGACGTTCGAGAGGTCTGTTAGCTCTTCCAAAGATTTTCCCAATTTACTCTAATCTATCCCTCGCCTTTAGTCTCTTTCTATTCCTTATATACTACTACTAACTAACTTAACAAATATAACAAACCACTAAACACTTAATATATTTATTACTAATTACTAACATAATCCTATCATTACTCCCCTCCCCAAGACACCTTGCCATCAAGGTGTGGTCAAGTGACCGCAGTAGAATGACGACATCTCCTTCCCATGTCGGCAAGCCCACCTTTCAGAATGTTGAAGGGCATCGCAATCCTTGAAGAGCCAACTTCAAGGGTGACAAACCAAGGCGGAAAAGGTGCCACGGAAGTGTAATCGAGAGCAGAAAACCCATTAGAGCCATTGTTCAGTCCACAAAACATAGAAATTTTGGGTTTTGGAGTTACAAACTCAGAAATATCAGATCTTCCATTTTCAAAGCGTCCAAGTCCTACTCCAATGAAGGCAATTTCTCCATCCCCAGCCCTAGGAGTGATGGAATTCCCAAACCCAGTCATATTTGGGCCAAAATTTGAGGACCCATTACACATCTTGTTTAAATTGGTCCCACTTTCGCTGAAATTTTTAGGCCCAACCCCTATTGAGCCAGAAGTAAGCCCAATAATGTTGGAATTACACAGCGCAGACCCAATCACGCAAGAATCGGACCTGCCCACATCGGAAATACGTGACCCAGCCCTCATTTGGCTGGAATTTCGAAACTCAGCCCCACCGACCCCAGGTTTTGAACCAAACTTCAATGTCCTAACCATAATATCACCGGAATTGAGTGGGTCACTACTATACCGGCTGGAAACAGCCTCAACATCGCCGGAATCATATGTCCCAGTCCAAACCGCAGCCAAATCGCCAAGCCCAGCCTCAGCCGCGCCGGAAATTGTGATCCCAGCCTCAAACGTCGCCACGCGAGACCGCCGCTCCCCCTCTGACCACAGCCCACCGTCAAATCGCCCCTTCCGCCGTTGGTCTTCGAGATCTGGTGCGATTTCGCCCAGACCAGCTCCCCTTCCCTCATTGCGAGCTATGGAATTGCGTAAGCTGGTCCAAATCCAGTTGGGATCCCACTCAATTTCGGAGGAATCACCTGACCCGGTCCAAATCCGGCCAAAATTGGGCCCCTCCGTGTTGCAATCGCGCGTATCGGTCCAAGTCCCACCGGGATCTTCGAATCCAGCCTCAGTCGCGCTGGGTTTCGCGCAAACATTCCCCGATCTAGCACAATCTTGTCGGCTTGTCGACCCCCAACCATGATCGTATGGGCGTTCTCAATTTTCACCACCAAATTGCCGCCGATTGTCTCAAATCTGAATGATTTCGCACCAGATCGTGAAAAATTGATCAAATTGTTGTCGTCCTCCAGCGATTCCAGAACTGGTTGCGTCGGCCCACTGCCAGAAACATGAAGATCTGAAATCATTACGTCCTGTGGCCAAACCTTCTCATTCTTCTCAGAGAGCAATCTCTCATGCATTGCTCTAAAACGAAGTTGCAAATTGATCTTAAAAGCACTCCAACAAGCAAATGACCGCCTTCTGTCCTCCCATTGAAACCACTCGAGTGCCTCACCTTCCATGAATTCCTCTGCAAACCAGACTTTTTCACATTCCGAAAATCGATTATTCAGACAATATTCTTCTACTTTTACAGTCCAAGAAGTCAGATCTTTTCCTAAGAACATTGGCATTTCTAATCGTTGCCAATGTCCACACGTTCCAGTCATTTTTTTTTTGCCTAACAAAGTACTGCTCTAATACCAATTTGGTAAGAACCGAACTTGAATTGAGGAATTGAATAGAAAAGTAAAATTATATTGATGAAGTAATTGAAAGAGATTACAAGATAAATTAGCAGACGTTCGAGAGGTCTGCTAGCTCTCCCAAAGATTTTCTTAATTTACTGTAATCATCTCCCGCCTTTAGTCTCTTTCTATTCCTTATATACTATTATTAACTAGCTTAACAAACGTAACAAACCAACCCTAACAACAAACCACTATTATTATTATTATATTGATTACTAATTACTAACCTAATCCTTTCAGTTTCATAGCATTTCATCCTATATTTCAGAAATGCCATGGCCATCCCATCCCCTGTGTTTTTAAATTCATGCAAAAACCTCTCTTATGACAAAATTTGGTCAAACTTAAGGTGCGAAACGAAAATTTAAACTATGAGGTCGACCAAATTAGTCAAACTTAAGGTGTTTTTAGGTCTGTAAAAATGATATTTTCGCATATTAAATTTGACCAATTTTTGTCAAAAGGGAGGCTTTTAACATGAAATTACAGGGATGGTCATGATTTTCTGGGAAATGGGTTGGCCCTCTTCTTATAAAATTCATCTTGTTCTGGGTGAAACTTGTAGACCATAGTATAATGAAGTTAATAATATTAGTCCATGTCATATTTTGATTTCTAAAAAGGTAATTTTCTTGAAGATTTTGGGGGATATTTCCTACAAAATATATCTGTAAATAATTCTGCTTAAAAATTCCATGATTGCAGGAGCTCAGTGGACAGGGATAGTAACGACGATAGCTATGGAAATGCTGAAATCAGGCATGGTAGAAGCTGTTATTTGTGTACAAAGGTACTGGCATAAAATTACTGTAAATAAAAACACATGTACCTAGTTTTGCTGAGTTTTACAAGTCTTTTTTGTTATGTTAATTGTCACAGTGATCCAGATGACAGGTTCACCCCAAGGCCTGTCTTAGCAAGGTTTGCATTAACCTCATCTCTAATGTTAAAATTTCTAAGTTTTTTTTATCCTCTTTTTTATTTTTAAAATTTTTTTTTTTTTTTTTTTTTTTTTTTTTTTTTTTTTTTTCCTTCTTCTTCGTTATATTCCTTATGGAATACACTTTAAATACCTTATAATTTACTCCCATTTTGTCATAGGACACCAGAAGAAGTTCTTGCTGCTAAAGGTGTTAAGCCAACATTGTCTCCTAATCTGAATACGCTTGCCTTAGTCGAGGTGTCTTATGTTCTCTTTTCATTATCAGTAAATAGAAGTTGTAGAAATTCCTATTTCAGCATTTTTCCTTTTGTATCGACTATACTCGATTTTTTTCAAAACTTTATTTTCGTGATATTTCTTGCAAAATTTAGCGAGTCGAGTGACCATATTTCCTGTCAACCAGGCTGCTGCTGTTAAGCGTCTTCTTTTCTGCGGTGTGGGTTGCCAAGTGCAAGGTATCATTTGTATTTCGGTCTCTAAATTTTTACGTTTCTTTATTCTCTATTGTGACTTGTACCATTGTAATGCAGAGTAATTTCTTAAACTGCAGCATTAAGATCCGTGGAGCAACACTTAAATTTGGAAAAGCTGTATGTGTTGGGAACTAATTGTGGTAATTAAGATTTCCTGTTCTATCTGTTCCTGTTTTCTTGTTTTCAAGCTCAAAAGACAAGTATGTTTTTCAAGATGGGAATATCCTTTTTACAGTTATTGCAGAAGTTGTTAATGGCATGTAGAAGAATTTTTAGCATTGTTGTTTCTTCTTGTTTTTAACTATTTTACTTTTTTCTCAATGAAACGACATATAGTGTTAATCTTGATGTGAAAATAGAAAAGAATCTTATTGACATGCCGTCAATTCATAAAAAAATTCGAGAAGGTAACCAATTCGTGTTACAACCATTACAACCATTTTGTATTTGAAATTTTCTACTAAACAGATTTTTAATTCTTTAGTTACAGTTAAAACTAAATGAGATAAATTCTTTCATGACCAACAGTGGATAATGGCACTCGAGAAGGGCTGGATAAGTTTCTGAAGGCTGCAAGCAGTGAACCAGAAACAGTTTTGCATTACGAATTTATGCAGGATTACAAGGTTTGTTTTAAAATATCCTTTCTGCTATTTTCCGATTGGGGAAACTGCTTTAGCTTGGTAAAACAATGTAAGGAATAATTAGAAGAAATTACAAGAAGGTAGATGTTAATTCTCTAATGTTCCTTTAAAGATATGCTCTTCTTGTGTTTTAATAGGTGCATCTGAAGCATTTGGATGGTCATATCGAAGAGGTAACAGTACTTTCTATTTCGGTCTCGAGTCTCCCATTATAGTTGCTTCATCCAATTTCCAATTTTAACAAAAACAGGTTCCTTATTTCTGCCTACCCGCAAATGACTTGGTTGATGTCATTGCCCCATCTTGCTATAGGTAATTCCTCCTCCTTTATCTTATAATTATAATTCTAGAAGCCTTTAGACCTTAATATTTACCAATCAGATGAAGAGTATTTTCTACAACTTATCTTAGATGAAAAAAATGATGTAAATTGAGAGATTAAATTTTTGGTTCGCTACCTCAGGAACAGTTGCTCACTTGTTTATAGTCTTATCTATTGTCTTAATCATTTTTTCTGAGAAAATATTGTCATAATCAGTTTCAACTTTTGTTGTCCCTACAGCTGTTTTGACTACACAAATGCTTTAGCAGTGAGTTTCATCTTTTATTATATATCTTAATATTATTTTTCTGGTTAAAATTATTTAGCATGGTTATTGTTGATTTACATCATGCTAAATAAATATTTCTTTCATGTCTAATATTCTTCAGGATCTGGTAGTTGGTTATATGGGCGTGCCAAAGTATTCTGGAATCAGCATGCCACAACATCCCCAGTATGTTACAGTAAGGTAATATATATTTTTTCTCTCCTCTTTTTGTGTTTTTTACCCTTTAAATACTCTTTTGCTATTTTATGATAAACTTACTATCCAAACATCAGAAACAAACGTGGAAGAGAAATGCTCAGTCTGGTTGAGAAGTATTTGGAGATTACACCAACAATTACTAGTGTAAGATCCTTAAGTTAATTCTATCCATTTTTTGGTACATTTCTTTTCCACATTAACTATATTTTAATTCAAGGGCATAATTCATTTCAGGGTCAGCGCCAGCCTTTTGTCATGGAGACTGTCAAGGCAGATGATAATGCTAAACTGGGTATGTTAGTACCTTTTCTAAATGATTGTGGGAATTATCTTCACTTTAGCTTTATACCGTGATCATCCGTTAGTTTGGCATGTGGTAAGCTCAAGCTAAGAAGAACGAAAACAAACAGAAAACAGTGAGAAATCAAGAGAAAAATAGAGTGAAAACAATTTGTATTGATACTGGTTTTTCCCAAGCACCGATACAGACTCGCATGGACATTCGAGAGGTCTAGCTCTCTCCCCTTTCTGTCACTCACCCAAAAACGACTTGCCACACACCACCAGCCTGACCCCTCTTTTATTAACCACAACGGAAAGACACTAGTACCCCTGTATAGAAAACACCCCTAACATATGTAAACCCAGCCCACTGACACGTCACCCAGCACCTAGCACACATGCTGCCCACAGAGTCACCTTGTCCTCAAGGTGAAATGAAGGGAATTATTGTTGCACCACTGCATAGGGCTCCCAAGTGGCCTCGAACGAGGGCAGCCCCTTCCATTTAATCAACAACTCGAGCTGCACGCCCCCAGCAGCAGGGCCCTGGCGCAACCTAAGAACTTCATCTGGTTCCACCATGAGTTCCAAGTCATTAGCAAGCTGTGGGGGAAGTGGAGAGGCTGGCACTGAAGCGAGCAAGGCAGGCTTCAACTGCGAGACATGGAAAACCGGATGGATGACGGCCTGATCAGGAAGGTGCAGCTTATAGGCCACGGCACCGATGCGAGCCAAAATATGGTAGGGGCCATAGTAGCACAGAGCCAGCTTCTCAAACGGGCGGGAAGCCAACGTGCGACGCCGATAGGGATGAAGCTTAAGAAACACCATACCGTCGACCTCAAAGTGGACGTCGCGTCGGTGAACATCAGCGCGAGACTTCATCCGCTGCTGTGTGCGCTCCAAATGACGCTTCAACTCGGCCAACATATCATCCCAATCCTTCAATTGCAGCTCAACAGCCGGGCTAGCCGTAGAACCTGGCAAGTAGCGAAGTAGGGAGGGAGGATCACTCCCATAAACCACACGGAAAGGAGTGGTAGCAATGGACGTGTGGTAAGCCGTATTGTAACAATACTCAGCCCAGGCCAACCATCGAGCCCACTACTTAGGCTTGTCCATTGCGAAGCAAGGCAAGTACGTCTCCAAACACCTATTTACGACCTCCGTTTGCCCGTTGGTCTGCGGGTGATAAGCCGTGCTATGCTTTAAAGCAGTACCCTGTAATTTGAATAACTCCCTCCAAAAATGGCTCATGAATACCTTGTTGCGGTCTGAGACAATTGACTTAGGCACCCCATGAAGGCGGACCACGTCGCGGATGAACGCATTGGCTACTGTTGGAGCCGTGAAGGGGTGTTTGAGGCTAATGAAATGGGCGTATTTGCTCAATCGGTCCACCACCACCAAGATCGTGTCCGCACCCTCAGATTTCGGTAGGGACTCGATGAAGTCCATTGAGAGATCCTCCCAAATCATCTCTGGAATGGGTAATGGTTGCAATAGTCCACCCGGCGCCAATGTCGATGTCTTGTACTGCTGGCACACTAAACAATTGGCAACATAGCGATGAACATCCCCCTTCACTCCCTCCCAATACAACGAAGCAATCCGTTTGAGTGTCTTCAGCACCCCCGAATGACCCCCCATGCCATTATCATGGTACTCCTTCGAAAGCAAGCCGATGAGTGGTGAGCTAGTAGGCAACACTAGGCGGCCCTTGTACAGCAAGCGGCCTTGCACCAGGGAGTAACCAGGCCGCGCCATGGGGTTTTGCTGTAAGTCTACCACGATAGCCCGCAGCCGTTCATCGGCGAGGACCTGAGCATCAACATCCTCCAACTGCACGACACGGGGCAGCGTCATGGCCAACAAGGCAGCGGTGGAATCCATGCGGGATAAAGCATCAGCGGCTTTGTTTTCCAACCCGGGCTTGTACTGGATTTCAAAATCAAAGCCCCTCAATTTAACCAACCATTTTTGGTGCTCCTCACTCATCATGCGCTGTTCTAAAAGGAATTTCAGGCTACGTTGGTCCGTACGCACTATAAAGCGACGCCCCAAAAGATAATGCCGCCACTTTTGAACTGCGAATACAATTGCCATGAGCTCCCGTTCGTAAACTGATTTCAACTGTGTGCTTGTTGTGAGAACGTGGTTGTAGTAAGCGATGAGACGTTGGTCTTGCATGAGAACCGCTCCCAATCCATGGCCCGACGCATCCGTCTCCAGTACAAACGGCTTGGAAAAATCCGGCAAGGCAAGCACTGGTACACTGGTCATGGCCTCTTTGAGCTTAGTAAAGGCCACATCAGCCTCCTCGTCCCAATGAAAACTATCCTTCTTCAGCTGGGCTGTCAAGGGCCAAACCAACTCCCCATATCCTTTAACAAAGTGACGGTAGTATCCCGTCAACCCTAAAAACCACGTATCGCGTAGCGTTCGCGGAACCGGCCAGCGTAGCATAGCCTTAACCTTGGCCTTGTCTGCCATGACTCCTTCACCTGAGATGATGCCCAGGTACTCCACCTGCCTATTCCCGAATTGACACTTCTTTTTGTTAGCATAGAGTTGGTGGGATGCCAAAATCCCCAAAACTCTTGCCAAGTGAGCATGGTGCTCCTCCCACGTACGGCTGTACACCAAAATGTCGTAAAAAAATACAAGAACGAACCGGCGTAAACAATCGCGGAAGATGTCATTCATAAGGGCCTGGAAAGTCGCCGGGGAATTTGTAAGCCCAAATGGCATTACCAGGAATTCGTAGTGCCCCTCATGGGTTCGAAACGCCATTTTGGGCACATCCTCCCCCCTCACCCGTATTTGGTGGTACCCGGACTTCAGATCAAGCTTGGAGAAGATCTGCGCCCCGTGTAATTCATCGAGCAACTCGTCGATGACCGGAATGGGAAACTTATCCGGCACCGTTACCTTGTTCAAGGCCCGGTAGTCCACACAGAAACGCCAACTACCGTCTTTCTTCTTGACTAACAAGACCGGGCTTGAATAGGGGCTTGTGCTCGGTTGTATAATCCCTACTGCCAACATCTCCTTTACCAGCCTTTCGATCTCCCCCTTTTGAACATGTGGATAGCGGTATGGGAGAACATTCACCAGAGCCGTGCCCGGCTGCAACGTGATCGCGTGATCCCGAGCTCGTCGGGATGGCAACTCTGTTGGCCACTCGAATACCCGATCATACTGCCGCAGTAGTCCTCCAATGGTGTCGGCACTGGGTTCAAGCTCCCTACCGCAGCTACTTCTAAACTATCGAACTCCAACAGCACCCCTGAACCTTCCTCACGGATGGCTTTCATCATTGCCTTCAAGGAAACTAAGGAATTGCAAAGGCTCGGGTCCCGTTGTAGTGTTACTGCCACGCCGCCCATCTTAAATCTCATAGTAAGCGTCTTCCAATTCACTTGCATACCCCCCAACATCTCAAGCCACTTCATTCCCAATATGACGTCGGCACTCCCAAGTTCGAGGGGAAGGAAATCCTCCATAACCTCTATGTTTTGCAACTTCAAGACCACTCCCTTACATAGGCCCTCACCTTTAACAGTTAATCCCGTCCCCATCAACACTCCATACCCATTGGTCGGCACTTGTGGGATGGCCAATCTCTCCACGAGATCGGTGGAAATAAAGTTGTGGGTGGCCCCACAATCAATCATCACCGCGACTTCCTGCTGTGCAATTCGGCCCTTCACCTTCATAGTCTTTGGGCTTGTTAACCCCACCACAGTTGATTGAGAGCTCCACCATCTCTTCAATTACTGGTTCCTTGGGGGCTTCCTCAGTGCCATTTCCCTCCTCCCCCATCAGGCCGCTCAACCTCATTGTTAACTACTAGGACATGCAACTCCTTGTTCTTACATCGATGCCCGATCGGAATATTTTTCATCACAACAGAAACAGAGTCCTTTTTCTTTCTTTTGTTGAAGTTCAGAATCAGTTAAACGTTCGAATGGAAGAGTGGGTTTTGGCCCCGGGGGTCTTACCTGACCGTGGACAGGCCTTGGGATTGAAGGGAGTTGTGCATACATGCTTTGGCCATAGGTCAGTGTTGGGTGACGTGTAGTGCTTGGATTTCCCATCACCCTCGCCGGACGTAACATCAAGTTTCGGTCCTCCACCCGCAGAGCTAACTCCATAATTTTCGCTAATCCGCTGGGTCGCATCATTCTCACCTCTGCGCGTATTTCCGGTTTGAGGCCGTTGATAAACGTGCTCTCCAATACTTGCTCCGCTACCCCCGTAAGAGGCGCTGCTAGGACCTCAAATAGGCACCAAAATTCCCGGACCGACCCCTCCTGACGCAGGGCTAGAAACTTTTCACAACTCGACCCCTCCTGAGTCACCCAGAAACGATCCAGTAGATTCGACTTCATTTCAGACCAGCTTCTCATGGGTCGACGTCCTTCCTCCCACTGGAACCAGGCTAGCGCCTCCCCGTCCAAGGCGATCGCCGTTGCGGTCAACTTCTCCTCTTCGGTCAAACGATTAAGGGTGAAATAGTGTTCTATCCGATAGACCCATCCGGAGTCACACCCTCGAAGACCGGCATCTCCAGGCGATGAGACGGACAATCCCCTTTCAGAATCCCCTCGTGACCGCCACTTGAACCCCCTTCCGGACTTTCCCCTCTCCTAAACGATGCCGTTGACCCCGAAGGTGGAGTGGGTTCCGATATACCCCCCTTTACAGCCGTTGGACCCAGATCCATCAGTAGATCTTACTCCTTTGCCTTCCCCTTGTCCACCGGTGGGGAATCCACCCGTACCGATTCCTCCATCTTCTGGAGAACCTGCTCCAAACGTTCAAGGCCCGTGATCTTCTCCAATACCAACGCCAAGCTCCTCTCTACCATATCCAGCTTCAGCAATCCCCCTTGAACCTGCTCAATCTGCTCCTCCACTGCCGAGATCCATGTATCCACTGTCTCCGGCTATGATTTGCCTTGACCTGCCCCTTCGACCTCAGCCCTGCCTCCTGGTTTCTTGTTGTTCACCATTCCCAGATCGAGATGCTCTGATACCAAAATGGTAAGCTCAAGCTACGAAGAACGAAAACAAACAGAAAACAACGAGAAATCAAGAGAAAAATAGAGTGAAAATAATTTGTATTGATACTGGTTTTTCCCAAGCACCGATACAGACTCGCATGGACATTCGAGAGGTCCAGCTCTCTCCCCTTTCTTTCACTCACCCAAAAACGACTTGCCACACACCACCAGCCTGACCCCTCTTTTATTAACCACAACGGAAAGACACTAGTACCCCTGTACAGAAAACACCCCTAACATATGTAAACCCAGCCCACTGACATGTCACCGAGTGTGGTGGCCTAGCCATAATGGAATGCTATGATGGGGTTGTGGTCATGGGTTCGAGTGCTAGGTTACTCCATTGGTGTAATATGTGAATGCTTGTTTCATGCCAACCTAGTACTCGATTTAGGCTGCCTAGAACCACCTCATGTACCCTTATTATTAGCATATTTGGTGAGTCTGGGGTGACGCCCTCCTCATTTGAGGGGTAGGGCCCTCCTATACGGCCATCAACGAATATTCTTATTAGATGAGGATCCCCTTTGGTAACACTCAAGGGGCATATGCTAACGCTGGCTGCCCCCTTCCCGGACTTATTTTATCAAAGAAAAAAGTTAGTTTAGCATGTCAAACAAATTATGTTTTAGCATACAATAAATAGTTAATCAACATGTGCCGTTTATAACATAATTATCAATATTACGGAATATTAGGTTGTGTGCAAAATGCTATTATATGTATAAGAGAGTTATATGTTACTTCATGTTGTCTATGACACTTTGTTCTTGGCATCTTTCTCAGGTAAAGGACCATCTCAGCCTGCTCCTAAGTTTGTTGGGAACTTGTTAGCTTTTCTTCTAAACTTGGTAATTGAAGATCTCAAATGTTATATTAATAGTGAAAAAAGTAACTATAAGTGATCATGTTCATTTTGATTTGGCTTGTCTTATGTAGATTGGCCCAAAGGGTCTAGAATTTGCTCGGTATTCGCTTGATTACCACACCATCCGAAATCATTTGCATGTAAATCGCATTTGGGGCAAAGAGAGGTATATTATTCTGACAAGTGTGGCTGGGATTCTAAGGTTTTTCTTTCTCGTCCTTATATTTTGCATTACAAATTCATATTGCAGAGCGGATAAACACATTCCTTCATATGCTAGGAAGATAGTAGATACGTACAACCAGAATGGTGAAATCAATCAAATGCTTTCCAATAAGTAACATTGATAGTTCTTAATGTTTGTATACGCTTCTTTTGTTTTTTCTCTCTCCTGTTTTGGTCTTTTTATCTGACTCTCATGATTACTTGATGTGAATTGAATATAGATATTTTTATTAATGGTTTCCCAACTTAGTTTAGAACTGATATAATGGATGAATTTAGATCTTGTTTAAATACAATTGTTTCAAAATGCATCAGAACTGATCTAATGGATGAATTTATATCTTGTTTAAATACAATTGTTTCTCTATGCATCATTTTAGACCGACTACTTTATTTAGTAAAAGACACATAAATATTCTTCCATAGTGGGTTGAAAGGTTGGTTCCTTTCCAATGTGGGACTCCTAACATTTAAGTAATAAATATTGATGCAAGTTTTAAAACACGAAGAAGCCTTTAATTATTTCTAGCGCATGGAATAGCATAACGGCATAGCATAGCTAGTCTAGTTGTTAGGCGCGCGCCAGTTGAATCCGTTAGATCAATTATTTAGAAGTATATTCTATACTTGGTGTCAAATTTAAAACCAAAATAGCATATGTACATTTAATTGCTAGGAGTTTTAAATTAAACAAAACAATTAAAATAAAATTTATCGCAAATAACAATGGAAGAAAATCAATAACTAAAAGCTTTAGTGTTTCTGATTTCACCAAGATCAATCATACTCAAATCTCCGATTTCAATTAATTAATATTTATTCCTATTCTGATAATGAATTTTTTTAAATTAGTTATTAATCTTTCTCAAGCAACAATAATAATATCTCAACAAGCAAACCCTACACCTCTACGAAGATTCTAAACATGCTAAAACTCATTAAGAACAGGTTATCATAGCACTGCACAAGTCTAGTGGATATCTCTATCCTATGACATTCTCATGGCATTTAAATCGAGGTCACATTCAAATATTACTCCTTAGACTCTAAAAAAATACCGGATCATGTAAAAGTTAGCCAAACAATCACAAGCATTAAAATACAGAGTAATATTTAATGCTATTAAATGTCTTGAACATGAGAAAAGAGAAAAAGAAGAAAACTGGTTCTTGAAATTACAGCCGGATCCGTTTCCAGTTGAACTATCATCTCTTTCATCGTACTATATTCCTAGTTCAACTCCCTAATGGAAAGATCCCTTAAAATGCTCTAAAAATTCATATTTATAGTTTTGGAGTCGCAGGGGCAAAATTGAAAATTTTTGGGTAATGCCGCGGCGCTAATCATAACTTTGTGATAATCATTTCGTTAGGGCCGTAACGTTACTTGTTTAGCATATAGGCGCTCTGTGCTAAGGTTTTTATACTGTATATTTTATTTTTACCTCTTTTAAGTGTCTTAGTGCTCTTCATAAGGGCCGCCGCACCTCACGTCTTATTTTGCTCTAAAAATGCTCCGAAAGCAGCCCGTAAACTCCAACTTTCACTATCCTACAAAATGAACTAAAAACTAAGTGAAACACTTAAAAACACCTAAAAATTTAACAAAATACTAGGATAGAGGTAACCAGATTATAAGTATAAAACCATCTCATCAAAGTCCTTGAAAGTAATCTATTCATAGAAAAAATTTCTAAATACAATTCACTATTTAAGTTGATATTAAAAAGTTTTCACGTTCTGAAATGGAAAAAAAAGAAAAAAAAAAAAAGAGTGAAATAACCAACGAAGTTTACTTTCTTAAAAATGCACTCAAATTCACAAAAGCATTTGACGTTTTAAGGGGGAAAAAATAAGCACGTTTTGCAAGCATTTTCATCGTTGCGTTTAAGTCTCTTATAACCATATTGTTAGACTAAATAGTAGTCTCACACGAATGCATGCATATGTGCATACATATACGTATACTGATATACATATAATATGCATACACGCACCAAAGAAATCGACCGATTCACCTTTTAGATACCCACCTTGACGTCAATCACATGCACATTTAAGATTTTGTTTAGTAGAAGCGAAAACTAAAATGAAAGGAAGGGTGAGAGATTTTAAATCTTTCAAACGACTCTAAGTTATAATCTCTTACTATAAAAAGAATATTAGAGAACGTAATCCATGCTGAAAAGCTCTTTCCTTCAATTTATCTGGCCTCGATTATGTACTTTTGATGTAGGAGATTTTAGTATACTAGTCGTAATTTCTATACTTGTGTTATCATTTGTCTTAGTTTGTCGATCATCAATTTACGTATGTTTTTATTATTGATTTTTCATTATTTTTTTAGTGTATCATAAAACCTTAGTACCTATTTTCGTATCGTTTTATGACTCGGTTATAAATACTCACGACTATTCTAATGGTTACCTTTGATTCTTAAGATGTTTAAATCAAAATTGTGTTTTCTCTCAAATTTTCGAAAAATATCCCCTTAATCATGGATTTGGCTTGAGTTTTCCCAATTTCGCTCCATAACACAGAAGAGGAGAGGACATAAGGTTCGAATAATACAACAGTAACACACACACACACAAACTAGTAACCTCAGAACACCAAGGAATGGGCTCTTTTGGTGTGAGGAACAACAAAGGAAGCCACCCCATGTGGTTTTTCTTTTCTTGGGAATAGTGATGTCTCTTTTAAGATGGAAGTTTCAAGCTCTCAAATGAGAGCCATAAAGAAAACCTTGACAAAAGAGCAGTTGAGGTATTCATTTTGTAGGCTGAAACTTCTTAGCAGTCAATCTTTGCTCCTACTCCCTACAAATAACACAATATTAAATAAAAGATGCCCCTACCGTGCAACGTTTTTCTAGACGTTGTGTAACGCTTTTTTACATGTTTGATCATATTTTAAAAAACATGAGGACAGTTATTGTTGAAATTGCTTTATTGTTAAATCTTACGTGATAAAAGTAGCTCAAATTTAAACCACTCAAAATGATTTTTATTATCATTAATATTTTAGATTTGACAAATCCAACTCAAATAATAAATTACTTGTATGATGCGATAAAAAAAGTTCGCCATACACAGCGGTGGAGCCACCTTAGGCTGAGTGGGGGCGACCGCCCTCACTGGCCTAAGTTCGCCCCCAGCCTAAGGTGGCCCTTTGATACTACCCCAATTAAATTTTTATTTTACATTTTTTCCCTTATATTATCCCCCTAAAAATTTCTATTTATAAATTTATGGTTTTAGTTTGAGTACCTCATTTTCAAACCTAAATTGCTAAATAAATCAATAATCAATGACAGTATGATATAAGTTCACAATTTGTGGTTGTAGATCTTAAAAAGTGAATTTAATTAAAAGATTGATTTATTTAGATTAAATATATAAATAAATAATATAATAAAATAA